TGACCCAATTAAGTAAAATCATGAATGAAAGAAGAGAGATCGCAACCAACACCGAAGAAATACAAAGGGAAAAATGAAGGGGGGGAAATCGGAGGGGGAGACAAACCATGAGAGACTATGGGCTCTGAGAAACAAACTGAGGGTTCTAGAGGGGAGGTGGGTGGGGGGATGGGTTAGCCTGGTGATGGGTATTAAAGAGGGCATGTACTACACGGAACACTGGGTGTTACACACAAACAATGAATCATGGAACACTACATCAAAAACTAATGATGTAATGTATGGTCATTAACATAACATAATAAAAAAAGTTCAAAAAACAAACAAAACAAAACAAAAAAACCAAACAATTATAAGAACATAGTATGAGCAACTATATGCCAGCAAATTAGATAATCTGAAAGAAATGGATGCATTCCTAGAGATGTATCAACTACCAAAACTGAACCAGGAAGAAACAGAAAATCTGAACAGACCCATAACCAGTAAGGAAATTGAAGCAGTCATCAAAAATCTCCCAACAAACAAGAGCCCAGGGCCAGATGGCTTCCCAGGAGAATTCTACCAAACAATTAAAGAAGAATTAATACCTATTCTTCTGAAACTGTTCCAAAAAATAGAAATGGAAGGAAAATTTCCAAACACGTTTTATGAGGCCACCATTACCTTGATCCCAAATCCAGACAAAGACCCCATCAAAAAGAAGAATTACAGACCAATATCCCTGATGGACATGGATGCAAAAATTCTCACCAAAACACTAGCCAATAGGATCCAACAGTACATTAAAAGGATTATTCACCACGACCAAGTGGGATTTATCCCTGGGCTGCAAGGCTGGTACAACATCCACAAATCAATCAATGTGATACAATACATTAATAAAAGAAAGAACAAGAACCATATGATCCTCTCAATAGATGCAGAAAAAGCATTTGACAAAGTATAGCATCCTTTCCTGATCAAAACACTTCACAATGTAGGGATAGAGGGTACATACCTCACATCATAAAAGCCATCTATTAAAAACCCATAGCAAGTATCATTCTCAATGGGGAAAAACTGAGAGCTTTCCCCCTAACGTCAGGAACACGGCTGGGATTCCACTATCACCACCGCTATTCAACATAGTACTAGAAGTCCTAGCCACAGCAATGAGACAACAAAAAGAAATAAAAGTATCCGAATCAGCAAAGAAGTCAAACTCTCACTCTTTGCAGATGATATGATACTTTATGTGGAAAACCCAAGACTCCACCCCAAAACTGCTAGAACTCATACAGGAATTCAGTCAAGTGGCAGGATATAAAATCAATGCACAGAAATCAGTGGCATTTCTATGCACCAACAACAAGACAGAAGAAAGAGAAATTAAGGAGTCGATCCCATTTACAATTGCACCCAAAACCATAAGCTACCTAGGAATAAATCTAACCAAAGAGGCAAAGGATCTGTACTCAGAAAACCACAGAATACTCATGAAAGAAATTGAGGAAGACACAAAGAAATGGAAAAATGTTCCATGCTCATGGATTGGAAGAACAAATATTGTGAAAATGTCTATGCTACCTAGAGCAATCCACACATTTAATGCAATCCCTATCAAAATACCATCCACTTTTTTCAAACAAATAGAACAAATAATCCTAAAATTTATATGGAACCAGAAAAGACCCCAAATAGCCAGAGGAATGTTGAAAAAGAAAAGCAAAGTTGGTGGCATCACAATTCCGGACCTCAAGCTCTATTACAAAGCTATAATCATCAAGACAGTATGGTACTGGCACAAAAACAGACACATAGACAAATGGAACAGAATAGAGAGCCCAGAAATGGACCCTCAACTCTATGGTCAACTAATCTTTGACAAAGCAGGAGAGAATGTCCAATGGAAAAAAGTCTCTTCAACAAATGGTGTTAGGAAAATTGGACAGCCACATGCAGAAGAATGAAACTGGACCATTTCCTTACACCACACACAAAAAATAGATGCAAAATGGATGAAAGGCCTAAATGGAGACAGGAATCCATCAAAATACTTGAGGAGAACACATGCAGCAACCTCTTCGACCTCAGCCACAGCAACTTCTTCCTAGAAACATCGCCAAAGGCAAGGGAAACAAGAGCAAAAATGAACTATTGGGACTTCATCAAAATAAAAAGCTTTTGCAAAGCAAACAGTCAACAAAACTAAGAGACAACTGACAGAATGGGAGAAGATATTTGCAAATGACATATCAGATAAAGGGCTAGTATCCAAAATCTATAAAGAAGTTATCAAACTCAACACCCAGAGAACAAATAATCAAATCAAGAAATGGGTAGAAGACATGAACAGACATTTCTGTAAAGAACACATCCAAATGGGGACACCTGGGTGGCTCAGTCGGTTAAGAGTCTGCCTTCGGCTCAGGACATGATCCCAGGGTCCTGGGATCAAGTCCCACATTGGGCTCCTTGATCAGCAGGAAGCCTGCTTCTCCCTCTGCCTGCCACTCCCCCAACTTGTGCTTGCTCTCTCCTTCTCTATCTCTCTGACAAATAAATAAAATCTTTAAAAAAAAAGACATCCAAATGGCCAACAGACACATGAAAAAGTGCTCCACATCACTCAGCATCAGGGAAATACAAATCAAAACCTCAATGAGATACCACCTCACAGAGGTCAGAATGGCTAAAATTAACAAGTCAGGAAACGACAGATGTTGGCGAGGATGCGGAGAAAGGGGAATCTTCGTACACTGTTGGTGGGAATGCAGCTGGTGCAGCCACTCTGGAAAACAGTATGGAGGTTCCTCAAAAAGTTGAAAATAGAGTTACCCTACAACCCAGCAATTGCAGTGCTGGGTATTTACCCCAAAGATACAAATGTAGTGATCTGAAGGGGCACCTGCACCCCAATGTTTATAGCAGCAATGTCCACAATAGCCAAACTATGGAAAGATCCCAGATGTCCATCAAGAGATGAATGGATAAAGATGTGGTATATATATACAATGGAATATTATGCAGCCATCAAAAAATTGAAATCTTGCCATTTACAATGATGTGGATATAACTAAAGGGTATTACGCTGAGCGAAAAAAGTCAATCAAGAAAGACAAGTATCATATGATCTCACTGATATGAGGAATTTGAGAAATGACAGAGGATCATAGGGGAAGGGAGGGAGAAATGAAACAAAACTAAACCAGAGAGGGAGACAAACAATAAGAGACTCAATCTCAGGAAACAAACTGAGGATTGCTGGAGTGGAGGGGGGTGGGAGGGATGGGGTGGCTGGATGATGGACACTGGGGAGGGTGTATGCTAAGGTGAGCACTGTGAATTGTGTAAGACTGATGAATCACAGGCCTGTAGCCCTGAAACAAATAATACATTATATGTTAATAAAAAAAAAGTTAAAAAAATAAATAAATAAATACAATTTTTTAAAAATCTGAAATGCTGAAATACACAAAATCCTTTATGGTAAGCCTCCTCTCATGTATGCCCATAATTCCTGCTTCACAGATAATAAAAGGCTTAAATGAGTGAAAAAATGTGCCCAGTACTTCATAGCCAGAAACTGGAGAAGTGGGATTTGAACAGAACCAGTCGAACTCTAGAGTCCACATGCTGAACCATTGTGCCTTTGGCCACTCCAGCTTAGTCCACGTAAAGAGCTGAAACTCACCTGAGGATTGCAGAGATTCTTACCACACGTGCGCTAGGCCCAAACCCTCATCCATCCATATCTACCAGCATTTACAACCATTGCTAAGTGGCAATCGAGGCATCCATCCACATTTTAGGAAATTCCAGCAGGGTCACAAAGTTTTTAAACTGTGCCATGGGTCATGCTGTCCTATCCAGATCCAGCTCATCCTTCAGAGCCCAGATCAAGCCCTACTTAGTGAGGAAAGCTTGCTCCCACCAGCCCAGCTTTCAATGATCCTCCTTTCTGATCAAACTACTCACCACTTGATGACAAAATGTCTTATTTTCTCGCCTCTCTTCTATATTCTTTTTTTTCCCCCCGAAACATGACCCTAAGCACCTTAGTAAATGGAGATTTTGTCTTCTAACTATTCTTCACACCACTGATACTCAATATATACTTGACCTCCACACTTGATTTTTAGTATCTGAGATGTGTAGAATGAGTAATCTCTAAAGGACCACATACTATTTCTAATGCTTTGGCAAATATATGAAGGACTAATTAAAACTTGTTTAAAAGCACTTGCTTTGACAATCAATTTGTATTCCTACGACAAATGCATTTATTTCTGCAACGTTTATCAAAACAAGAGTGCCAACTGCTTCCCTCAGTGTTTTCCTTAGTTAATTCCAATGCAGCCAAGATTTAAGAATCTACTAAGTATGAGCACTACAGTGACAGAGGACAAAGAAGCTTCATCTCGTGGGACAATTCTGATCCATGAGCAGAAGGTGCCTTTGGGACCTTTTGTTGACGAATCATCAGAGACATGGTTTGAGTAATGAGTAATGTCTGCCATTGATGAGGAAACACACGTAATCCATTTGCCATTTAAGGAAATGCACTGCCTTTCTAATAAAGTCACAACTTGATTCTCTTCATATTTAAACAGAGGAAAGAGAATCGTCCTATAAGGAAATGGAGTTGGACTGTGTCATCTTTACTCTTGGCCTACAAGACGCACCTTCTCCATGGGAACGGGAACCGTTGGCCTGGCTACCATCTTGCTTTGCCTGCCCCTGCAGTATTCCGCTGCTCTGCCCTCTAGCTGCTGTGTACCTTGTTTCTGCAGAGACACTGTCCCTACGACACGGTATCCAGCGCTGTGGTAGATACTACACTTCTAAATTTCACTCCTCATCCTCTGTCCTCAGGCTCATGGCCCCCCTTAATCCAAAACAGGACCTTGATTATTCACAGAGCTTATCTTTTCTGTTGAGATTGTTCCCACTCCCAGTGAACTTCAGTTTATATCCGCTAAGCAACCCTACACGCAGCTGCAACTCCAGCAACGTACCAGGGCTTCCGTTCCGTTGTGCGGCGTCACAGTGAAAGCATTTGCAAAAAAGCGAAGCTGAGGAAAAGAAAAGAACCGTCATTTTGTGGCGGTGTAGAACAGAGTCACAAAAGCAGTATTCATTTATATACTAAAAAAGATAATCTGCACTTCTCATCAGAGAACATTTTTTAAGTACCGAAAACTAAAGAAGTCTAAAAAAGAAATATCACTTAATCTCCATCACTCTGAGCCAACCACTTTTAACATGGGGGCATAATTCCTTCTCATCTTTTTCTTATACCTGCCATCATGGAGGGACATTTTTTCCAGAGCTCTGCAAGAGAGAAACATCTCCTATAAGTAGCATTTTCTAACGGGGAAGGAACGCTGGTCCTGCAAGACGCTCAAAACACAAAACAAAAGAACAAGCAAAAACATGGTTCCGTGGCCATACAGTGCACAACCATCCCCTTCTTGGGAACTTTTAATGCATATGACCACATTGAGAGCTCGGAGAAATCTAGTTGAATAGCACTTAACACAGGTTTCTCAAAATTATGTCATCCTAGAATTCCTGGGAGCTATGGTGTGTGATCAAAGACACAGCCGCTGACAGAGAAGGGGACATTCGGATGGTGAGGCAGGGGGATAGCAGGGTGTACAAAGCAGAGGTTACACAGTGAGGAACTTCAAAAACCTCAAATGAAATGAAACTCTGCCACCTTCTGGTTCGACTTCTTAAATCAGTTCCCAACCCTTAAACACACCTTTTTGGTCCCAGGTCGAAGAGCTGAAGTGTTCATCGCTTACCAGCCATATGATGGGCAGCAATACTGTCCACACACAGGGAGGGAGAATTCCACAGGTCATACTGGTCACCATTGTGCCTGGGCACACCACGCTGGAATACAGACCCTGGGAGCACAGGGAGGAGCCAAAGTAAGATTCAAATTCAGTGTTTACGGACGCAGCCCATCCGCGTGCTTGTGACTAAAGGACATATGCAAATGAATCAGGAAGCCGGTGCATGAAGGATTTATGCTCTGAGCTGCCCCTGAAGCCTGGCAAACCGTTTCAGTGAAAGAATCATGTCCGGAGGACACACGAGGAGAGGCGCTCAGGATGCAAAGATGAGTAAGACAAGGTCTCTGTTCTCCAGAAACTCACAGAACAAAGAATAACCCAACTTGGGGCTGGAAGAGAAAAGGAGGATCTGGTTACTGGAGTTTGCCAGGTATTGGCTTAATTGAAGATCGGTTTATTGATCATAATAAGCACTTCAGATAAAAAAGACATCTACAACACAGTCTCTGCCTTCAAGAAGTTTCTGGTCTAGTAGAGAACAGACAGCTAAACCTGAAGTTTGTGTCTATTCCCCTGCAGGTACATAAGCCGCACACTTGTAGCTTGAGGAGGGAGCTCCTGTCATAAGAGGTGAATGAAGGGCTGCGTGTGGTTCCACAAAGCACCTCCCCCAACTAAAGAGTTCTACATCAGGTCCTCAGCCCGGGACCTGTCATTTTAGGAAGATCTGCCCTCGAAACAGAGCCCAATTAACGCACAGCGTGTGCTGCCAGGGAGGGCCCTGCGTGGCCTTTACGAATCCTTGGATCACTGGGATTGGTTTTACCAGCGGACTTAATTCAATTTTTACTACATTTTACCTTATGTAGCTATTGACCATTTTAACTCTTATTTTTATTACTTTTAATTTTATTTTTTCTTTCAAATGAAAACAGGAAGTACCAGTATGACACAAACAGTTCAGTGGGCAGAAAGCACCCCGAGCAAGAGAAGCTGGAGCATTTTCTTCCTTTATTCGGGGCTGCAGAGGCTCCATGGTACCTGACAGATTATCCAATCCCTGGAGGTCCCCTTGTTTTACCAAAGGTCCTCTGAAAAGAAGTAAGAGCCTGGACTCAGCAGAGACCAAAACTTCTCCCCAAGAGAGTAACAGATTTTCCCCCAGCGATAGCTAAGGAAGATTTCTTATTCTGGGAGCTAGCTAGGAACAGTTAGGGACTCTTCAGTCCTAAGTAAAGACATCTGTGGACTGAAATCCTGGGTCTCTGACACCTGTAATGTTCTGATGTTGAGCGACAAAAGAAACAAACAAGGAGGCAGCCTCATCCGAGAACCCAGTCCCCCTACATGTCGCAAGGATCAGCTGTGACAACCTGAGTGTTGTTATGAGACGTGGGTGAGGGGTGATGACTAAACTCCAGCAGGTGGCCCCGTGGGCCAACAGCATTCCCAGTGATACAAGCCTTCAAGAGGATGTCGTTCCCCCTTCCTAAAAGCCAAGGAGGAAAAGCCGTGGGCTGAAAACCAATCATACAGGTTTTAGGAGACAGCAGTATTAGCTAAATCTCTCTTTCTTGTAAAAGATGAAATCCCAAAGCTTCCTTGACAATTAAAACTTAAGTGAAATCCCAGAACATTTTATGAAAAGAGAAGCTAATCCACTCTGCCCTTGTCCCCAAAAGGAAGCTTCCGGAGAACAAGCAGTCGTGACAACTTTTGAAACACCTCAAGAAACCTCAGAAGGAGGCTAACCACCGGACCAACACACTGAACTCAAATAGTAACAATAGTAGTAACAATAATCGTAACAATGATGATAGCCAACATAAACACACACACACACATGCACACGCGTGTAGACCACACGCCTCCCGTACACACACGATGCCCAAACACGTGCACATACCACATGTACAATCACAGCACACACATACACACACACCCACAAACCCAATGTGTGCACACGGACAGTCGCTGCCCCCACTCACTGACACCCACGTGTGCACACATGTGCAGACACACACATGCTGAGACTACTAGCTGCTGTGAGTGCTTCACACCATCCCTCTCATTCAACCCTCCCAACAAATCTGTGAGGCAGGCACTATTTTTATCCCTATTTTTCAGATGAGGAAACTGAGGCATTGGGAGATGAAATAATCTTCCAAGGATTCAAATCCAGTTCTAGGAGATGCCCTTAGCTTCTACGCTTAGACCATCCTCTTTCCTAAGAGGGTTCCAGGAGAGAGAGTTCTGATAGACAGGATAAACCCATTCGAGACCATCACAGGAGGCTCTGACTGTGTCTGATGCATCACCAGAGAAGGTCCTGCAAGGGCAGAAAGTTTCTTGGTCACCTTTTTCTTTCTGCTTTCTCCTCAGCCCTAGGCCTGGCCCAGTGCCCTAAACATGGTAGGTCTTCTGTAAATATTAGTGGAATTAAATTTCTCCCCAGCCCCACACTCAAACAGCAGAGTCAAAGCAAACAAAGGAAAATGCCATGGGAAAGACTGGAGATTTTCAGTGAAGGTTTTAGACCTGAGCAGGAGAGACATCCAGAGAGCAGTAAGCTCCAGACCAGAGGCCACAATGAGCCTGGCAAGGCTACTTTCTGCAAAGAAACACCCCCAAAACCCAGAGTCCTCAGAAAGACAGAGCTCTGGACTCTCACCAAAGACCACCACTATCCAGAAGGCTTTGTAACTACTGAAGGTCCTATAGTATCTGATATGACAAACACTGGGACACAGCGTGGTTTAGTGGGAAAATTCCAACCTACAGTCAAATAGCCCCAGGCTCAACTCTGAGCTCAACCATTAACTAGTTGTATGACTCTGGGTAAATCACCTAACCTCTCCAAACTGTGGTGTCCTCACATGCAAATGGGAATATTCAGACCTACACTCACTGTGACAGGAAAGGCACTGAATGCCATACACAGGTAAGGAGTACAGCACCTCAAGTACGTGCTTTGTTAAGCTGAGCCAGGCCTCACCCGCGGCCGTTCCCGCGCCACCGAGCCAGGCCTCACCCGTGGGTTGAAGTTCCGGTTCAGCGCCACGCTCAGTAGGTCAATTGCGTATTTGGAGGAGCTGTAGGGCTCCTGGCCTCTGCTGTGCTGGATGTCCTCAAGGTGGAAATTAGATTTCCTTGCATTGCGAGATGATGTCCAGATAAGCCGGGAAGGACTGTCGCTGTGACAGAGGAGAGCTTCCAGTTCCTGAATCTGATAAAAAAGGAACAACAAAATGGATCAACATCTACTGGAGTAGAGGATAACAGCTGTGAAGCCACTGTAAACATGTCCTGGAGCTGAACAGGAATGTCACTGCTGAAGGGGCTACTCCAGACACGCGAGAGAGGAGGCTGGAATGACCCATGCAGGTTAGGTTAGGGACATCGGTATGAACAGATGTTTAGCTTCATAAAAATAGAGATGGTTACATATAAAAATACTTATAGGGGTTACCATGCACGTATATCTCCCTGCTCTGTTAGCCTAGAAGCTACTGATCCATCAGTAGTAACAAGCACCAGATCTTGGTTTCTAATACCATTGTCTAATAAGAGGAACCAGATCTTGGGATGCCCAGGTGGCTCAGTCAGTTAAGCATCTGACTCTTGATTTTGGCTCAGGTCATGATCTCAGGGTCCTGGGATAGAGCCCCACGTGAGGTTCCACGCCCAGCAGAGAGTCTGCTTGAGGATTCTCTCCCTCTGTTCCTCTCCCTGCTCAAGCTCTCTTTCTCTATCTCTCTCTAAAATAAGTTAATAAATCTTAAAAAAAAAAAAAAAAAAAAGTAGAACCAGATCTTCTTAGGGAAATGGCTAATTCTAAGACTGGGGCAGGAAATAAATCCGATGAACCTGAACCATCTTGTAGTGCCAGAAAGAACATGCTCAAAACAGAAAACCACACTGATGAGGCTATATCAGAGATATGCAGGATCCAACATGAAGAGCACCCAATGGCCCAAACTGGAATAATTTGAGCAAGAAAATAAAGTAGTGTTTCCAACTCAAAGTAGAAAATAAATATCCACAAGCCCACAGGAATACAAGTTATTTTCGCAGCTTTATTGAAGTACTTGAAGTACTTACTTGACCAAGAAATGACTGAGTAAAGCATTAGATAGAGAACAGACAAATCTCTCTTGCAGAAAAGTTCCAAATAATTTATGTAGCTAATCGACCCTTTGGGGCATCAAACACAACCCCTTAAGTGCTAGCTACACATAGTAAGTCTCTTCCAAAGAGAACAATATGGAAAGGGAGAGAAAAACAAAAACAGAGACTTCATGATGAAAAACCTGACAAACACGAGCTGGGAGATCAGAGAGAACGTCAATGCTGACAAGTCACAGTGACATTTCATGTGATGTGATGTGACGAGAATGGTCTTCTCCTCTGTGGTCCTCCTCCCGCAAACGTGTTACTCAAGTCTAACCATGAGAAACATTTCAGACAAATTCCAACTGAGGACAAATACCTCAGCTGGAATCCTCAAAACTGTCAAGATCATGAAAAACAAGGGAAATCTGAGAAACTGTCACAGCCAAGGGGAGCCTGAGGAGACAGCTAAATGTACTGTGGTGTCCAAGAAGGGGTCCTAGAACTGATGAGGGGACATTAGGCAGAATGGAAGAAAGCTGAATAAGTTTGGACTTCCATTAATAAGGTATCAGTATTGGTTCTCCTACTGCAACAAATAGTAGTAGTAGAGAAAACTGGGGCGGAGGGGGATACAGGAACTCTCTGTACTAGCTTTGCAGTAATTCTGTAAGTCTAAAACTATTCTAAAACAAAAATTGTGTTAAAGAAAAACCTAGGAAAGCTTCCAGATGCGCTCCACGTTTGCAATGAACAAATAAGTCAAATGCAATCAAGATAACTCATACACATGAGATTAAATCAGTTAACTGGTTCCTGGACTGTAATACTATGCTGTGCTTGGAACTTCACGGAAATTACCTCTACTCTTCATAACAACGATAAAAGTTTGGTCATGTTACAGATAATCAAACTGGGGATGGATGATCCATTTATACAATGCATTTACACCTGAACCTAGAATCCAAGTTTGTGTTCTAGAAGAAGTGGTAAGATTCTTAAACCTAATCTGAAAGGAGTGGGAAGCATTCTAAGCCCTCTGACGACTTTATTAGATAAATCCATTCCAAAACCCCTCCTGATATGCCTCCCTATATAAGGATACACAAGGATAGGTCATGTCATCAGGACACCTATGATCATCATGCCCACAGCCATGACTCTCCTCTGCCATTCCCCCAACCCAGATGACCCAAATACCTGATCTTCTGAACAACTTAATTTTTATTTTATTTTTATTTTTTTTAAGATTTTATTTATTTATTTGTCAGAGAGAGAGAAGGAGAGAGAAAGAGAGCACAAGCAGGGCGAGCAGCAGAGGGAGAAGCAGACTCCCCACTGAGCAGGGAGCCCGATGCGGAACTCGATCCCAGGACCCTGGGATCAAGACCTGAGCCGAAGGCAGACGCTTAACTGATGAGCCACCCAGGCGTCCCACAACTTAATTTTTAAACACTAGATTTATCAAAAATTTAACAGAGTAGTGATAATTATCTTCTATCATTACCAATTAATTTAATAATTCAAAAAGAAAGCAAAGAACGAGTATTATAAAAAGATAAAGGAAATATTAGATAGAGGATCTGTGTAAAGGTATAAAGAAAGACCAGACAAGAATTCAATCCCATTCTAACTTTACATTTTAATTAACTTTTGTCATTGAAAAAGTGACACCACATCGCAAGAAATGAATAGCACTAAAGGTTATAGAATGAAACATGAAGCTCCCCCTCATCCCTGATATCCTGGCACCCCAGTTAATGAAGGCATAAAACTGCTCCCAGTTTTATCTGCATCATTCTAGAAATATTATATACATTTATATACACTACATAGAGATGGATTTTCTTCTGTTTCTACAAATGAGCTCACACTATACATACAGGCCCCTGCTATTTCTTCTTCATAATAAAATATGAGAGGCTGTCCCACATAAGTGCAAAACATTTACCTCATTTCTTTTAGTGGGTCCACAATATCCCAACATTTGCCTACATCTTCATTTACTGTAAATACAGGCGAGTGCTCAAAGAGTTCCAATGTTAAGGGAAATGGGGCTGAAGGTGAAGAAGAGTGGCGGTGAATAGAAAGGCGTCAGAAATACAGGCTCTGTGCAGGCCAACCCAGCATCGGGGTTCCTCCAACACCGGGCAATGACAGGCCACCAGCGACACAGTTGGGCATTATTTAATCCTAGACAGTAGAGCTGTCCCCTGGGATCATGCCTGAGCAAGAGTGCAGAACAGGTGAGACAAGCTACACGTCTCTTGCTTACATGCATGTGTGCCTGGAACTATAACACACGGTATAGATGCCGAAGAATCAGAAGTCAAGATAATAAGAGACTAATTATGGATTCTTGTTTAACAGTGGCTTGCCCACTCCCCTCTCCTATCTGGCACCAAGCCCAGTTTCAAAGACCGTTCAGAACAGGACTGGTACACTTCCTCACAGTTCTGTACATTGTTTCCGAAGGCACCTGTGTGTTTCTTTCTCACTTTGTCTCTGCTCTCTAAAATTGCCATCAAAAGAAAAAAAAGAAAATCTATCAATCAAATGCTTTAGGGAAGCAATGTTTTCACAGAGTGCAGTGATCACCCCATTTAAATACTCAAGGATTTCATGCTAGGCATAAATTAATGAGCTTAACAAACAGGCCTGGGACATGTCCATGCCAGCCTTTAGGATTCTAGCACGAATATGAGCTTCTTGAGCCCAGTCCTTTTACCAGAATAAAGTGGCCAAAGACGTTGGTTTCAAACACCTCCTGGAGCCCATCGGCAGTGACTTTATCTTCCTGGGTCAGCAGTCCCTCAGCTGTGGAGAACATATGAATCACTTTTCTGAAACAGGAGAAGACAATTGTATGCCTTTTAAAAGCTTCTTTAACTGAAAATACTGGAAAACCCTCCCTGCCGCCCTCCCCGGCCCAAAACTGCATTTTCCTTGATCCTATAAAAATACCTATTTCTCAGACTGTGTTATTGTGTGTATATAAATAAGATGCAAAAATGCTTCCTTTCCCCCAATTCAGAGAAGTATTTATATTATAACTCATACTACCCATTGGACCCTGACTCAAAAAAATCTGCTGCTAAAACTCTTTTCACTTTTTTTCCACATCAGGTTGCAGGTGAACTTCTCTGGGGCAATAACAGCCGTGCCAAAGGAGAAAAAGTCTTCCCCTGCACAAACTGATGGTTAACTGCCCAAGTTACACAGGTTGGTTTTTTTACTGGGAATTCTTAAAGCACCAAACACATTAACACAGTAATTTGCTGTGAGATCCATTTACTAGGTCAAGACCTGTGTGTGCGTGTGTGTGTGTGTAATGGAAGAGAAGTAAAACAAAAGTAGCAATGTACGAAGAATGCCCTAAGTATGTAAGTCACAAGATAAGACTTATTTCTCACTGTAGGTTGTGATCAAACATTTTTGGAAGCCACTGTGCTACTGTGTGTTAAGAATCTCCCGGGGAGACCTTTGGTTCTACGCATTTCCCCCGCCTCCGGGGCAGAGTACCTGCCACAGAGCTGGGAAATGCTTCCAAAGCAGCTTTGGTACTAACAACTCGGACAATCTCACTGACAACTCTGCCCAATTCTGAGATGTTCTTGCTACTGGACACATCCCGGCAGATCAAACATGGACCTTCCGAAGCATCTAGCCACTTGGGATGTCCTGGAGACCTAGAGCACCCATTCCCTGCAATACTTCCTGTCTTTATTCTCCTCAGCCGCCCCTCAGCCCCCTAACTTAACCTACTGAGGGCAAAACCAGGCAAAAACAAACAACGGATTCCTTCCACTGAGTTCATCTAGAAAATGGACATTACCTTGAAAAGAGGCCAGAGAAAAGTGCTTTGATATTCAGCTGTGGATTGGGCATGATCCCAGCATTCAGATAGACATAGTCTAATCTCTGAAACCTGCACGGAAAACACCAAGACAAGATTGTTCATCTTCTCTAGAGCAACTGGAATAAGAAAGCCTACGAAGGACAGAAAATGCTTTCTGAAGGGGACGCATGACACATCAGGGTTACACCACTTCTTTCCCAATGCTGTTTCTTCAGCCACAGTAAATACTTGAGTATTCTTTTTTTTGACAGTGGCTTCACACAGAATCTGGGGAACTATAATGGGCTTTGAAGTTAAATCTTTTCAGATCAAGACTCCTTCCAGCTCTGTCCTCCCAATTAGGAACCACAGGTGGTAACCCTCTGCCTGTTAAACCCACTCTCCATCTGGTCTTAGAAAGTTGTCTACTTTTTTTTTTTTTAAGATTCACATCTTCCCTATTGATGAGTAGAATTTATATAATATTAGTAATGGCCCAACCTGAGCCGTCAATGCTGGAACCTGAATGCCAATATATCTAGTAAGGCAGCCGATCCATGTGGAAACCGCTCACTGCTCGTGGCCAGGGGCTCTGTATCATAAAATGGTGAAAGCTCAAAAGAATACAATCACATGACAGAAGCTGAGTGGGGGTACGGCACTCTTGGAAAGCTCCTTCCAGGACACCTGTCATAGAGAGAACAGTGACATGCTGACTTGAGAGTGCTTTTTCATTTTTAAACCTCCGGAGGCCCTAATCTAGCATACTCCTCTTGAACAAGGGCCAAGCCTGCCCTCATGATACTCACAGGCACCATGAATGTTCATAATATCTCCTATAATTCTATGCATTACGCTATCTCCGTGCCCTCTTCTGTAGAGTCCAAGACAATACGGGCCACAGCTACCTTAAAATACATCCATGTTACCAGGACAGATGGCACACAAACATTTCTTGATCATTCTGTAAGTAATTACCAGCCCCAAATGACTCTAATTACTAAACTTTCTGTTTAAAATGCTGATGTGGATACTACTGGGCCATCCATGTAAGTGCCATAAAGTCTATGTTTTTCTTTATTTAAATTCAATTTAGTTAACATATAGTGAATTATTAGTTTCAGGGGTAGAATTTAGTGATTCATCAGTCTTATATAACACCTAGTGCTCATCACATCACATGCCCTCCTTAATGCCCATCACCCAGTTACCCCATCCCCCCACCCACATCCCCTCCAACAACCCTCAGTTTGTTTCCTAGAGTTAAGAATCTCTTATGGTTTGCCTCCCTCTCTGTTTTCATCTTATTTTTTCTTCCCTTCCCCTAGGTTCCTTTGTTTTGTTTCTTAAATTCCACATAGGAGTGAAATCATATGGTATTTCTCTTCCTCTGACTGACTTATTTCGCTTAGCATAATATCCTCTACTTCCATCCGCATCATTGCAAATGGCAATTTCATTCTTTTTGATGGCTGAGTAGTATTCCATTTTGTGTGTGTGTGTGTGTGTGTGTGTGTGTGTGTGTGTGTACACACTGGGGTGCAGGTGTCCCTTCAAATCACTATGTTTGTATCCTTTGGATAAATACCTAGGAGTACGATTGCTGGGTCATAGGGCAGCTCTATTTTCAACTTCTTGAGGAACCTCCATACTGTTTTCCAGAGTGGCTGCACCAGCTTGCATTCCCACCAACAGTGTAGGAGGGTTCCCCTTTCTCTGCATCCTCGCCAACATCTGTCATTTCCTGAGTTGTTGATTTTAGCCATTCTGACCGGTGTGAGTTGGGATCCCATTGTGGTTCTGATCTGTATTTCCCTGATGCACGTGGGCCCATCAATTGTTGGTTGTTCCATTACCTAATGTGCAAACTGCCATCTAAGAACCTTAACAAATTTTGCTCGAAGTGGAAAGGCAATGTTCAAAAGAGTGGAAACTACAGCACAACACCAAATTCAGGTCTGCGCTCAGTAAAACGGCATATTTACTACTCTCAAAGATTAAATGATCGACACAATCGCTCTCTTCCAGATAAAGCAGAACTGCAATTTCTCACTAGTTTTTCCTCTGCACATAGCTTACAGAAGAGAGGCGCACAGCCAGAAAGCCCAGGTGTCAGGAATGGTGCTGTGTTAGCCAAAAGACGGGCCCTTCCCAAGCTCTCTTCAGTTGTAATTTACTTCAGGTCTACAATCACAGACAATCACTTGGGCCATTAAGGGCGGGAGAGTCTCGACATAAGCAATAGATGTATGTGGAATCGGCACACATTCCCACATCTGTGAATATCACTGTAACTAGCATTTGCTAAGTCTGGAGGAGAGCACTCATCCCAACAGGAGCGCTTCTGGGGATGAAATGAACACACAGAAGCTGCACTGAAATGCTGATGGCAGGTGCGCCTTACCTCCGTGCTCCCTCCCGCCTTACAGCCCTGCTGCCTCAAGTTCTTCTAAGTGTCCTAATATTCTGAATGTTACAACCTAAAATCTCGAAAGTCGCTATACTGGAAAGGGCTATTCTTTTTTATTTTTTTTAATTCAATTAATTAACATAGTGTATTATTAGTTTCAGAGGTAGAGGTCAGTGATTCCTCAGTCTTATATAACACCCAGTGCTCATTCCATCGCATGCCCTCCTTAATGCCCATCACCCAGTTACCACCATCCCCCCACCCCTACCCCTCCAGCAACCCTGTTTGTTTCCTATGCTTACGAGTCTCTTATGGTTTGCCTCACTCTCTGATTTCATCTTGTTTTATTTTTTCCTCTCTTCCCCTATGATACTGTTTTGTTTCTTAAATTCCACATGAGTGAGATCATGTAATTGTCTTTCTCTGATTGACTTATTTCGCTTAGCATAATACCCCCTAGTTCCATCCACATCATTGCAGATGGCAAGATTTCATTCTTTTTGATGGCTGAGTAGTATTCCATTGTGTGCGCATATATATGTATGTGTGCACATACATATATATATATATATATATATACACATACTACATCTTCTTTATCCATTCATCTGTCAGTGGACATCTGGGCTCTTTCCAGAGTTTAGCTATCGTGGACACTGCTGCCATAAATACTGGTGTGGAGTTATTCTTAGAAAATATATTGTCAGCCCTCAGGTGTGACTACGGAAGCAGCTGAAACATCAACAGCGTTCCTGGTCTTGGGCTACTGAATGCAACAGCCTGGTACGAACAGGAACCCATGATCTCCTGGGGCAGGGCACAGGTTAAGAGCTAGGAAAGAAGGTAAGCCTCAGGCCCCCTTCCTGCCTCAGGTGATTGCTAGCACAAACATCCCGCTTCTCCTTTATCCCGTGACTGCCTTCCTATGTGCCTGCTTGTAGGGGAAGGTGCAGGCCTACCTCACATCTTCAAGGTAACTGCCCTTCCTTTGTACTCCTTTCCCATGCTTTGAGGCACCTGTCCTTGCTTTTCTGACAAAACGAAACAAAAGCTACGCGCAGAATCCAGCTGCTGCCCCCTCACAGAGGTGGGTCCTGCCCGTCCTCCCCGATCATTGTCTGAGAACTTTATTTCAGTGCGTGATGACAACTGGGGTACAGGGGCCCCTTCGGATCACTACATCTGTATCTTTGGGGTAGATACCCAGTAGTGCAATTGCTGGGTCGTAGGGCAGCTCTATTTTCAGCTTTTTGAGGAATCTCCATACAGTTTTCCAGAGTGGCTGCACCAGCTTGCGTTCCCACCAACAATGTAGGAGGTTCCCCTTTCTCCGCATCCTTGCCAACATCTGTTGTTTCCCGACTTGTTGATTTTAGCCATTCTGACTGGTGTGAGGTGGTATCTCATTGAGGTTTTGATTTGTATTTCCCTGATGCTGAGTGATGTGGAGCATTTTTTCATGTGTCTGTTGGCCTGGAATATGCTATTCTTGACTGAGGGTGAAAGTTCTTTTCTGCTAACTGAGGAAATATAACTAAATCTATACAAAACAGAAGGACAGCTGGCTGAGAAGGTTCGGGGAAAGGAATGCCTGAAATCACCTGATTTGAGCTCAAAACTTCCATACTAACTGTAGGGTCTTTAACTCAGTAAGAACGTTTACTGTGCAGCTTCACAGACTTGGCAACTCAAAGTTATAGAAGAAAAGGGGATATGGAACCTAGAAAATCTCCTCGGTGTTTTAGAAAGACGATGTGGCAGAAAATTCTAGGAGAAATGACATTTCACAAGAGGCTAAGGCTGAAACTAGAAGAGCGGGGTGAGAAAACCAGCTCTACCTTTGCTCTGTAACTCGTGCATTTGCAACAGGGAAATGCAAATGGGCTAGCAATCCCCATACATAAAACACAGAGTTGTCTTCTTCAGCAAATGCCTTTACCAAAAAGGCCTTTTGTGTCTTTACTGTACTTCATTTTACTGTCCAAGGAAATAAAGCAGCTCTTGTTCCTTAAGGACTTCAATTACAAAAATGTTTGAAAATTAATTATTCCCCATATCCTTAGGGCTGAGTGTGGACTAGTGTGGGGCTCCTGACCTTTTTGGACCATAAATTCCTCCTAGAATTAAAAAAAAAAAAAAAAAAGCATGCCTCCTTCCCCAGAAAAAATGCATTGTGCACCTATATGCAATTTTGTGTACACTTTCTAGGGAGTCATACGTCCAAGGACTCTATTCCTTCCTACACCAAATATTTCTCAAATGCCTATTACATGCCAATTACCATGCAGATGTAAACAAATCTTTAAGGGCCTGTGGGGGAAAAAAATCTCTGAAGAAATAGGGTGCAGATGTGGGTTCTCAGACCAACCCAACCAATATCAAGTCCTAGGCACCTGTCCAACCTACTTAATGAAGTCGTTACACGGAGGAAAGATGCAAAAACCGTATTCAGAAGGGAGTTACCATAATGTCCACCCAACTAATCACACATCAAGGTGTATTCAAATTAATCCTCACAAAATAATAGCGATTATGACTGAGCATGAAAATGTGCTCCTGAGACACCACGGGTCACTCTGTACGGATCTCCTCAGCCTAACTTCTTACACTGCACCTGGTGTAAGATGTTTAGGTTTTCCTCTCCTTTCTTATTTTATTCACTGCTGTCTCATGCAGTCGCGTGAGAGAAAACCCGTCAACAAGAGGCATACCTTTGCTTGAGCTCCCTGGCGGCCCGGATGACTGACTGGAGGTTGCTGACATCCACCTGCACGACGCTGACCTCGGCGGCCGGGTGAGCGGCCAGCAGCGCGGCGCGGACAGCCTCCGCTTTGCCCACGTTCCTGCACGCCAAGCACACGTGCAGCTCATCGTCTTCCTCCAGCAGCCGCTTGCAGAGCGCCAGGCCAACGCCACTGTGAGACAATTCGGAGACAGAATATGCATTCATTCAGATGGCGCCAAATAGGAGGCTTTGCTCTCTGGTCCAGAAAATCGCTGTTGTCAACATGGGCTCCCATGAGGAGCCCAGGCAGAGGAAAGAAGACTCAAACATTATTCACAGAAGAAGGAAGACCACCCCCCCAACTTGAATAGTCAGTCACTCGCCCAGGAGGCTGTCCAGTTTGTGTTTCCGAGAGCACATGAGCGCTGTCTTTTCATCGGGCGCTTTGCATGCTGTACTTGTTACGACACTCATGAAAGGGAGTCTGTACCTCACCAGCAAGAGCCGACACGAGCATCCTATTAGCCGTTTCCTGCGTGCATGTTTTACTTTGCTGTCTAGGTTCCTCAAGGGCAAGAGCTCTACTACCTGTTGGTATCGCTGCCACCATCCCGAGCACAAGCAATTCCCAACAAGAAAGGGTGAATGTTACAGTAACACAGCAGGAGGCAAGTCCCTCTCAACTACTACGATCGAATAACCAACGGGAAGAGAAAAAACTCAACTTGATTAAGCAGCAGGTACGAAGAGGAAACATAAGACGGGCACCAGGGACGAGCAGGAGGATGAGGGCACAAGACAAAGACAGATAAACTCCTTCAGAAATGGCATTTGAAACCTCACGGTAAATGAGGACACGACTCAGACCAGCTGGGCTGAGCACAACCAAAGCCTGGGCCTTGCCAACAGAGCATCAAATAGGTTTACCTCTACTCCTCCTCACTTGAGAACAGCAGGTCTTTACAATAAATATCCAAGTGCATACATCACAATATACGTTAAAAAAAAGAACACACAAAAACAGTTCCGACTCGGACTTCAGCTTAGGAAGCACCCTGTCAGTTGTTCAGGGCGCTCAGACACCTGCCGCGCCGCTGAGCTAACATGGGTGTGGCTGGGTAAGCGAAAGCGGACGGATTTTAGATGACATGTGACACATCCTCTGCCTTAATCCCTCAAAACCTCGCACTGCAACAGGCAGAATGGTTTGGTTGGTGTCATCCTCCCATTCTTCACAGAAGTGCGGATGAGGAGTAAAAGCGGGGGACAGAAGAGGCCGAGAGTCCACATGGGCGGCCCTGGAATAATTAGGAACTGGCGGTGATGGTTATTTGCACTCCTGCCACGCCTCGCCAGGTAGAGGCTTACTTTTTTAAGGGCGTGTCTAGGTGTCTAGCTCTGTGCTGGGTGGAATGACACCCCCCACCCACCCCGTCCCACTGCTCAGGGGTGCTGAACCTTATCTGGGGGGCAAAGTCCTGCACAGATACAACACTGGGAGCACACGACGGTCGCGACGCTACGCGCCGGGCACCGAGGTCGACCCGGACCAGCTGGAGGAGGCGGGGTCCGCGTGGGAAGCGCCCTCGTCCCGGACACCAGCAGGACCCCCGCGACGCTCCAGTTTTCCTTTCCGCCGTCACGTTCAGTTCCAGCACTGGTTACTGTGCGCCTCGAGCCGCCGGACGCCCGGGGCGGGCGCAGCGAGGACGCGGGGCCTGCGGGGCCTGCGGGGCAGGGGCTCGCGCGAGGCCCCACCGGGCGAGGCCGGGGACGCCTGCTCCGGGGGGGGCGGGGGTCGCCTGCGGTGGTCCGGCCCTGTTCTCCCTGCTCCCTGCGACTCCTGACCCGCCGCCGCCGCGGCCTCCGAGGACGCCTCACCTGCTGGCCCCGGTGACCACCACCACTTTCCGCATGGTCTCCCTCCCCACCGCCGAGCCGCGCAGGGGCCCCGCCACCGCCTCCGGGGCACAGGAATCCGGTCACCCTACGCGGCCACGCCGCCGCCGCTGTCCAATCAGAGCGCGGCGGGGCCCCGCTCCCCTCGCGTCATCGACTGCGCGCTGGGCCCTCCAATCGCGGCCCGCCGTGCGCTCCCCGAGCCGGGCCCGGGGGGGGTGAGGTAGGCCGAGGGGCGGGGCCGGGCCCGAGCCAATCCGGACTCCCGTCGTCCCTAGGCGGCGCAGGCGTGCCAGAGGACGCGCGGGGCTCCGTCAGCGCCTGCGGGATGCAGGGCGGGAGGTCCCCTGAGCCGAGGAGGCCTCGGGGGCGAGGGTCTTGGCACGCCGGGGAGATCAGCCTGCCTCTTTATTGCAGGAAGGGCTCAGGATATTTGCACAAGAACGCTTTAATTTTAGAGGCACGATTTGGGTCTAGGAATTGAAGTTTGAGTAGTATCATCGACTTTGCTTTCCACTCCTTTTTGGGAAGTGTAGATCCAGGCACTGCGCCGTTTTACAGACCAGCTTCTGATCCCGGACCAGCTCTTTCTCTTTAAAAAATCATCTTTGGGCGCCTGGGTGGCTCAGTTGGTTGAGCGACTGCCTTCGGCTCAGGTCATGATCCTGGAGTCCCGGGATCGAGTCCCGCATCGGGCTCCCTGCTCGGCGGGGAGTCTGCTTCTCCCTCTGACCCTCCTCCCTCTCATGCTCTCTCATTCTCTCTCTCTCAAATAAATAAATAAAATCTTAAAAAATAAATAAATAAAAAATAAATAAATAAATCATCTTTGCAAAAATGAACATTGATTTCATTAAAAATTTTATGTAGACTCATGCACGAATAACCAATTTTCAAAATTTGGAACATGGTATGAATCAGAGTATCTAAGAACTTCATAGGACATTGCGAGGGTGTACTGTAAGCTCCTACTTCAGTGTTTCTCAGACTCTGTGGTAAAGGACCCGTTTTGTTTTTCCAAGCCATCCCAGATGGGTACTTTTGGAAAATACAGTAACAAAGCATTATTAGAAAAATGAAATAAAAAGCGAAGGATACAAAATACAAGCCCCAATTTTTTATTATTAGATGTAACACATAAAAGAATCTTCTGCCAAACTGCTGTTAAAGTTTCTAAGGCTTACTCTAGGTTTCTCTACTTATCGTGCATTGGTAACAAGGTGACCATCACTAGTCTAGGTTCACACTAAGTAACTCCACACCTCATGTATGTTCTACGGAACGTACTTTAATCTACTTCATGGCCTCTTTCAAAGTTTCAATTATTCATGCAAAGCAATGATCCCTCAGCAATGTGAGACTGATATAATTTATACTGGCTTTTGAAATCATAGAGGTCTTGATTAATTTGATATTGTAACAGCACTCCAGCTCGCTTCAAGTTTATGGGCTCCTTGCTTGCTGACCTAAGTCCCTTGGTCTGCAACAGAACTAACCTACTTTCCTTGCAATTTGCAGACCACTGGCCTTAGGGAGTGAAGAACCGAACTTTCCCAGAAGATAAGGTCTGACTACATTCAAAAACAGGTGCCACGAATACCAGCAGGTCTGTTCAGGGTCATGTTGACATACACCTAACTGCTGGGGCACCTGCTTCTCCTTCATGTAGCCCCCCTCCCCCTTGTCCCATGACTTCCCTTTTAAAAGCCTCCACCTTGGTCTGGATGGGGAAGATGGTCTTTGAGAAGCTAGTCCACCATCTTCCCAGGTTGCTGGCTTCCTGAATAAAGCAACCTTTGCTTTCCCACCATCACTCGTCTCTCGAGTGTTGATTTGGAGTGGCAAGCAGCTAAACCTGAATTCAGAACTGGTACTCTGTCCAGGAACAATATCGGCTAGTTTAGTAATACTTTATCTTATACCAATAAAATTATATTCAGAAAATAAATCAATTATTTGAATATTAGATTCCTAAATCATTAAAATATCTTTACTGTTATCTGCGTGGTACTCAGCTCCTACCCTATGCCACTTACAACTATTCTAAAGAGACCACGCTTTGACAATATTTTCTGGGAGTCCTAGAGTAAAATTAACCCCAATCTTTACAGTCTAGACCCAAAGCCTCCTTTTAAAGTGTCCTAGGGCTGGGGCGCCTGGGTGGCTCAGATGGTTAAGCGTCTGCCTTAGGCTCAGGTCATGATCCCAGGGTCCTGGGATCGAGTCCCGCGTCGGGCTCCCTGCTGGGCGGGGAGCCTGCTTCTCCCTCTGCCTCTGCCTCTCTCTCTCTCTCTGACTCTCATGAATAAATAAATAAAACATTAAAAAAAAAATAAAGTGTCCTAGGGCTCAGAAGTGACATGTAGAAGGAGTAAGAGTTGTGGGGCTGTCCTATGAAAAACTCATTCCTACAAAGAAGGGGGAGGGCCCAGGCTCTGGAGATTCAGCATCACCACAATTTTGGGATGACAGCCAGTATAGGACCCAGTGTGAGTTAAGTGAAAACAGGAAGACCAGAGCAAGAGTGGCAGTCCCCTACTAGCGTGATGTCCATCCAGTCCAAGTTAGGAAACCTTGCTCTTTGCTTCCCTCTTTCAATTCAGGTTGGGCCTTTCAAGGTTCTTCAACCTTCACAGGATGGGCTGAACCACTAGAGGTGCCAGAGAGACCAGGAGAACAGAAATCTGTTGAAACAGATGGCACTGAATTTTGTATTTTAAAAATATTTAATCACATGTAGGACACCTCAGTAACGGTTATAATATATACTTTATTGAAAGGTGAGTAAGTGTGGCTTTCATCGTCCCAAACTAGTCATCTTGAGTTTATACTGTTTATGGGGCTGTTTTCCTGGAAACCAGAAGAGGAACCTCGTACGCAACAATCCCATGTATCCCTGGCAAACCTTGGCCCCTTGAACAGAATAGTAAATATAGCACTCCTACCTTTGACTATTTACTACCTTATAAGTAAATTTGCCTCTCCCCTAAATGCTGAAACCGATCTCTGGTTCCTTTGATGGTGCCTGAAACAGTCCTTAGGTAGACAAAGATGAGTAAAAGTACCTTTAGCACCCAGGACAGAGCTCTATTCTGGGTCCTTAGAAACCTCTTCAGAAGCGGGGGAAATCGGAGGGGTAGACGAACCATGAGAGACGATGGACTCTGAAAAACAAACTGAGGGTTCTAGAGGGGAGGGGGGTGGGAGGATGGGTTAGCCTGGTGGTGGGTATTGAGGAGGGCACATTCTGCATGGAGCACTGGGTGTTGTGCACAAACAACGAATCATGGAACACCTCATCTAAAACTAATGATGTAATGTAGGGGATTAACATAAGAATAAAAAAAAAAAAAAAGAAACCTCTTCAGAACTGACTTGCAAAAGAACAGCTGCTGGTGGGGCCATATAGCTCTTCTTGTGGGTCTCTTTCATCTGTCTCCTCTTCAAATCACTACACATTCAGCCTGGCCCAAAGCTACTCTGAGAACAGGATTTTACCCATTTCACTAGATAGGAAGAGGTACATATGTTGCTTATACATAAGGAGTTACTCCATGCAACTCAAGGACCAGAAGATAGGTGTGTAGACTTCTTTATCAAATATAAAACGAACATAAAATTCTAAGTGGCAATCAATCAGTAACAAATTACATACTCAAATCAATGCCTGGCATATAGATGCCATATCGTCTACAAATACGTATCATGCATACCTTCCTTTAAAGTTTGACAACAGGTGTTGACAATACAATTGTATCTCTTTGAACATCTCTGCTGTTCCTGTTTACTTTTTTCTCCTTTGCCTCCAACCCCACTCCCACCGCACAGATACTTGAATCCCTGGCCTTTAGCCCTGGAATCAAACCAGACACTCTGAGGGTCAGAGTGTGCCTTCGTGAATTATTATTGTCCTCTGAGTATTCTCTGAGAATTTCTACCCATTCTCTTATCTATCATAGCTATTGCTGGAAAAAATATGTAATTATTCAGAAAATTAAAAGGATAAATATATTCCTCAGGAACCAAGTAAGAAACATGTTTTTTCTTTGGGGTGGGGGTGGTGGTGGTTCATCTTAGTTTCTCTTACAAAGACTGTGTCTGTATTCTGGTTGTTCAGAGTTTTTGTTGCTTTTTGTATGCCTGGGTGGTCTTGAGACAGATGACATTTGGATTTAGAAGAGATTTCTATGTATCAAACAAGACCACTTTGTAACAACAACAATAAAGCATCTGCAATTAATTCTGGACTGGATTCTCCAGAACTGGACTAATGAGACAACCCAGAATCCCAATCTCTAGTATGTTTGGATGTGCCAGAGACCAAGATGCTTTTCTTCCAATAAACAGTCAAGTAATATGTGAGAAGCCTGTGTAAGTAACTCTCTGCTGGATATCCCCCAATGAACAGGCACGCACAGCATGCACACCACACCACACTTCCTTGGCTCCGTTCCCGTGCCCCATCAGGTCTCCAAAGAGACTGTAAGGAGTAAAGGTAACCAAGCCCAGAGCTGCTGACACAGAAAGAAGGATCCATCAGTAGCATATTTCTTTAATCATTGTTATTTACAATTTATCATCTGACAGACTTACAGAGAATAAATAAAGAAAAGAAAATATACAATTGGTATCTTGTTTCTTTTTCTAATACAGAGAACTTTTACGTATTCTATTTTGGAATGACTATGATAGTTTTAAGCAGAGATCAATTGGTTTGCTCTTTACCCCTTGACAAGACACATCATCCTCCAAAGCCTACAAAACGAGGCCCAGATATTCCCTCCTCATAGGAAGAGTGAGCCCTGTTGGTTCAGAAACTCAATCCTCAGAAAAAGTTAGCAGACAACAGGGTAGAAGAACAGGGTATCATGAGTAGTAAAGGACATAAAATGTATAGGCTAGGTTACAAACTCTTGGGTGTGTTTACAGGAATCCTACCCAATTCCAACCATTTCTAAGCCTCTTTTCAAGAAAACAGGTGATTGCCTTATCACATTGTGCTTTCCCTTGAGTCTCTTTGCAAATTCTTCCCTCATACGCTTTTGTGAATATGGGTAAGCACAGGCTAGCTGGGGACTCTGATCCTTCTCCTTTAGAGGTTCTTGACAGGTGTCTGCTGGAGAAACCAGAAAGCTTGTT